CCTCGCTATCAAATCTTCTCCACGATAATCTTCTCGATCAGACACTTTTTCCTTCCCTTTAAAGCTACTTGAATCACTAAATTTATAGTGGACTGACGATGTCATATAATAACATAGAATATTCAAACTATTTGTTAGTATCAAACTAACATAATCTAAACTTAAATATAAAATTCGATAAAAATAAATCCGATACTTAAATTGATATAAAACTAAATCGTACTTCCATCGTAATTTCAAACTTCTCAAAATATTCCTTAAATTCAATGAATATTTCGTTTCACTATCAACTCTTCAACTCTTACTAATTTCATAATCCAACCACTAACTATGAATTCTTTTTAGAATTCATATAAACTTTCCTATTTAATCCATAATGTCCCTTTACCATTATGATCATTTCACATTAATCGCATAAAATTTCCAGCACCTCAATAAAATTAAATCAACACTTAAACATTCAAAAGCTTGCAATTTCATCCTAAACTTTCTTAAGCTTTTCAAATTCAACCACACAACTTGATAAACCTAGAATTAAATCTCAACTTAAAAATTAAAACAAAAATCAGCATATTAAATAAATTTCCAGCATTACAATAATTTACTCAAATCACATTTAATAAACTTAAAATCAAGTCTTGTAACACCATTTACCCATATACGTTTCCTTACACAAGTTACAGGTGTCGCATGACTTAAAAACATTTCTTTATTTGCAAACCCATCAATTTTTGTTTCTAAAATAAAACATTTGTTAACTTTCAGTAGTTACAAAAATTTTAAGATTATAACATATTACAATAACCGTAAGACAAATACATTCCAACACATTTTTATAAGTCCAATACATGCCATCTAATTATCAAAAGTAGACACAATTGTCCTACAGTTACTGATGAGTCAACCTTGGATTGATGATCTCTGCGGCACTATTTACCCTGCTAGTCTTAGCTATAACCTACGCGTGAAATCAACACACGTTAAGTATTTACTTAGTGAGGCATAAAAATATAAATGAAGTGAAATTCATACACAAGTATATCATGACTATTAAAATACGAGCTAAATTGTATAATTCATAATTAACACCATTTTAGTAAACCAAGTTTCTTTCATATAGTCATCGAAATTATTCTTAGTATGCCCATCATACCTATCTATCTGTATTTTTCCAATTATCCTTTATTTTTCCCAATGTATGTCAAATGAGAATATAAGGTACATACGTTACACCGAAGTGCCGAAATGGAAATTCACAAACTCATTATGAATTCCATGGATTGCAGACATAGTGCCAAAATGGTCATTCATAAACACATTATGAATACCATGGGTTGCACATTTAGTGCCAAAATGCACCGTTATGCATTAAACAAAATCAATCGATAACTTATATACATAATTGTATATCGAAATGGTAATTCACAAACTCATTATGAATACCATGATTGCACATATAGTGCCAAAAGTACACATAATACTGATACGAAAATGCACCATTATGCATTAAACAAAATCGATCGATACCGTCATACATGAATATGTCGAAATGCACCTATAACTCTCAATGCACATACAATGGGCTTTTAAGTCAAATTCACAGATTTAAACATTTCTTTCTGCAATATCGATAACCATTGAACAACATCAACATTCATCTATTCATTTTAGAGCAGTTCATACTCTAAAACTTATTCATAATATCATTCCATAAACATTATGCAAATATATTAAAATACTGTAAAACATACTTTTAACAAAACATTCGAGGTTGGCTCGTCGCTAGTCTTCCTCATCTCATATAAGTACAATAATTGCACTTACCTTATATGCCTCACTAGTATGCTTTAATGATGTCTGACTATTTGCAACTTTATCCTTGCCCTTTTTCTTGCTTGTCTTAGGAGCTTGGTTACGATCTACACAAGCATCCATAATTATACATACCATACAAATGTTAGTATACTTTCTAACATTTATACTTTTAATAATACTCAAAAGTATTATTATTTTCAATTTCTATTAAAATTCATCCTATCTAAAAATTCAGGTTCAATAGTATCGATACCCCTATTATGGTATCGATACTTCTATACTATGGTACCGATACTCCTTTCAGTATTGATACCATTTTTTTATTCTGGAATCCATAGCATCGATACCTTCCTCTTAGTATCGATACCCACAGCAGTATCGATACTACTTGCATCTGTATCGATACTGTTCGTCATATTTCCTCAAATTTAAACCTATAGTAATGTTCTTCCAGTACCGATACCCTTACCAAGATTTTTAATTTTTCATACTTTACCATTTATTCAATTTAATCCTCCAAATTTTAAAATCCTTTTATTATGGTCACCGACCTGATATTTAGGGTATTACAAGTCCCCATAATATTGAGACTTTTTGAATTCCACCCTCAAATTTTACCAAATTTTAAATTTGGTTCCAAACAACTTTCCAACTTAAATTTCCAGCATTTTCAACTATAAAAAATCAACATTAACCCTTCAAATATTACATTCTTGCAATAATATCACAATTCTCAAAACTTGTATATTAACACTTTTACTAACTCAAGTGTAGGGATTTAAAAAGCTTAAAGATCAACCGAAAATATGCCAAAATGGGGGTGAATTGGAATTTAATATTTAGGGAGTAAGGAGTATAAAGATAAAGGAAATTTTCATAATGATTTATAGTGGTTCAACTTCTCAACTAAGTCTACATCCACTACCTTAGCTCCTCACTAAGGATTTTCCAACAAATTCACTAATTTGTTCTTTCTTTTTCAAGGATCAAGAGTAACCTTTACAACTCCCTATCTTTTCAATTGGCTAAGATAGAACCAAAACCCCTTTTACACAAAAGGAAAAAGATGTAAACATGAAAACCTCTCTAAGGTAGGTGTTTACAAAGATTAGGCTCACAAAAACACAACTATTTACCAGAGAAAGAAAAATAAGAATTAAAAGATATTCTCATGTGTTTGGTTTCTTATATAGGTATTCTAACCCTTCTTCAAGTGTCCTCAACTTGTTTTCATATGTTGGAATGAGTTTGTGGTTATTTCTAGCTGTTGGGGATGATTTGGAATCGTTGGGGATAAATTCTCTACAAAATAAAACTACGCAGGACAGGGAGTATCGGCACTCCTTTAATGAGTATCGATACTACCTTTATAATTTTTAAATCAACTAGCTGTTACTAGCCATTGAGCTTGACCAGTATCGATACTATTCTTCATGGTATCGATACCACTTTGTAAAGTAGTATCGATACTCCTTTGAGTATCGATACCTATTTTGCATTTGGAATTTGAGCTATTTGAAAACTACCTGGTAGTATCGATACTACCTTGAGAGTATCAATACTTCTCTTACCTTTGGTATCGGTACCACGTGAAGAGTATGATACTGTTCATGCAGTATCGATATTGTTCGTGCATATCGATACTGTAAGAACAATATCGCTATGAAATATTAGTACCAAATGATAGAAAATTTCATGTAGATTAATTCTCTAATTCATAAATTCGTCAAAAAATCAATCATGTAAGCTTAAATATAAAAAACAAAATGTTTACCTTTGAGAAATGGTGGTTCAGCCAAGTTTGAAGACGGGGTTGATTTTGTGCTAATTTCTTGATTAATCTAGTATTTATTAACCTTGAAACATGACACTTTAATAATATAATTGAATTTAAAATTCAATTAATGAGAAATCCCAAAAATTCCATTAATGAAACTTGATAATTACCGAATGTCATTGAATTATCTTCCATTAAAATATTACTTAGTCAAATATGAATCAACATGACTTTGACTTTTCACTTTGGCAATGCAATTTTCAAAAATTGCACTTTAGTCACTAAAACTCTACTGTTTGACCAAATCTAAAAAATTACACTATTCTAAGTCAAATTTATTTGATCTAAAATATGAAAATAATTTTTGCAACTATTTTATAACATCCTTAAAAATTTCATAAAATTTCGGTTCAATCTGATTATCTGATTTCAATACTGAACTTTATCGTTTTATAGCTATTAACACAAATCTCGTACTGAAAATCTGATTACCAAAAAAAATCCTTGTTTTAGGCAAAATTGTTCATTTACGGGCTAAAATCTATAACTTTTCAAAATTACATTTTTGGTCTCTAAACTTTTACAAAGTTTATACTTTAGCCCTTAAACTTTTAAAACTTACATTTTAGTCACTAGTCAAATTTGGGGTATTACATCTATAATATGAATATGCTTAAAATTTTATGTTAGGAAATGAATTTCTAAAATTTGAAGGTGAGATGAACTTATAAAATTTTAAATGAACAAAAATATATTATCAATAAAAAAAATAAAATATTTAAATATATGATAATTTAAAATTTTAAGGGTAACTACCTCACTATCTCTAGTCTACAATATATATGTACATTGTTAATAGACTAATTTTTTTTAAACAAATTCTATTCCCTAATTACTTACCCTATTAAAAAAATAAAATGTATGATATATTGTTTTTTAAATTTTAAATATTTTTAACTTTTAAATGATACAATCGAAAATAACATAATAATTGGAGATAAAATTTCAATAAGAATAAAAATAAACTTATTACTCATTTACTATGATATGTTTGAATTAATTTGACAAAAAAATAGAAACTCGTGATAAAAACATTAGATTCTTTAAGTGAGATTAAGAGTTCGAATTTTGACGTTTGCGAATGAATCAAACTGGGTTGAAAGGATAAGTCTCTATAATATATGTTCTAGATTAATCGATCAATAGATCAGATAACAGTAGTTATATCAAAAAAAGAAAATATTGAAACGACTAAATTAATAAATGTGAGGGACCTGAAAGATCATTCTACCTAAAAATAGTATGAAAATCCAGTAATATAACATAATTCCTTACCGCCCCCATTCTCTTTCTTTCTTTCAAACTACGCTCTCCATATTTTCCAAAGAAGAAAAAATACGCTCTCTATTTTCTTCTCTTTCTTTTCATTCGAATCTAATTTAGTTGTGCGCTGTAAGCTTCATTCGATCCCGTTTGCACTCGTCTCTTTTCTCTCCACTTAAGTTTACTTGTTTTCATATTGCCGCGTTTCTTTCTTATCTCTCTATCGTAGTATACAAAATCAAAATTCGCTTCTGTGATTCCCGTGTTCTCCGCAATGTTGAATTAAGAGAACTGTTTTTGAAATGAGAATTTAGCATCTCCGATTCTTCCCAATTTCAAAGATACAGTGACTGACGATTATAGATCGCATGACTTAGTCGGATCTGATCTCGCGGATGCAAAGATTACGATCTAAGCTTCCTATTTTGTTTAGTAAGTTGGAATTTCGGCTGTTTTCGAGAGGACGAGAATGTCAAAGGTGGTGTACGAAGGATGGATGGTGAGATATGGACGAAGGAAAATCGGCCGTTCCTTCATACACATGCGGTATTTCGTGCTCGAAAATCGGCTTCTGGCTTACTACAAGAGAAAGCCACAAGATAACCAGGTCTTTAACTATTTTGTTTTGGACTTCTTTATTTTGCTTAGCCATTTTTAGCTTAGAAAATTGGAGTATTTTTAGTATTTACTTTTGGGTTCAGAAGAGAGAAAAGTTGCTTTTAAAATGTTAAGAGAAATTCGGTTTTCTTTAATATTATTTTCAGTAATTAAACTTGTATTTTTTGTGCTGCTGTGCTTTTAGCAAAAGCAGGAGCATCTTGTTGAAAAGGTGTCTGATATCTCTGAATTCTCGCCGTTTATGAAAAGTGAACCGATTAATTTCTATTTTCCTTTTTATAAGATTCTTTGCGTTTTTTTTACTATTCGCTTTTGTGCAATGTTGTTAACGATAAAAATTCTTGAGTTTTCAAAATCAGGTTCCATTAAAGAGCATGTTGATAGACGGAAACTGTAGAGTGGAGGATCGAGGATTGAAGACTCACCATGGACACGTGAGTTGTCTTGTCATTTGTATGTGTGTGTTTGCTTGTATTCTATTTTAACCCACCGTTGTTATAATGGTAATAGTGCACCAAAATGTTGCTGTCAGTAGCCATGAGCTGAGAATGTCCTATATTGTCTATACATAAATGTATGTGAACATGTGCGTAAACATAAGCATATAATCAAATCAGAAATAATCAGCATTCTTTTTTTCCTGGCCAAAAAAATCAGCGTTCTTATGCCAATGATTGCTATATTTATGTTGTTTTCTGCTAGTGATTTGATAATCTCCTTTCTGACCAACTGTATTGTTTATTTGCTTAGTATATTTTACTTCTCTCTTCCCCAACCTCACTCTCTTTTGTCGAGAGATTCAAGCTTGCTCTCACTTACTGTCTCTGTTTCTGCTTGACTATTGACCACTGTTATGTTCCATTAAGAGTTATATTCTGGTAGAAGGTGAAACGTATTCCTTCAGATAGAATTCATTTATTCTTCATTTTGACTTTCTCGCGGTTTTTGTTTTGCAGATGGTTTATGTTTTATCTGTTTACAACAAGAAAGAGAAGTCCCACAGAATTACGGTTTGTTCTTATTTTAGTTTAGAGGAAAATAGCAAATTAACGTGTATTCTTTGATGCTTACTAACCTCGTATAGCTTGGTTGGTTATTCAATTTGGAGAAATTAAACATGCTTTTGGCTTCTTTTCTCTTAGGCTCTTACCTGCCACTGGGAGGGAAGTTCCTAGGAATGAAGCCCCATTGCTACTTTTCTATCACCAAATTACTTTTTTTTATAGAAATAGAGTAGGCCTCATTAAAAACCCCCCTTCATAACCTCCATGTTACAACAGTAGTGTGAAGGACATTGGAAGGAGGAAAAGAGTGCCTAAGAATTTATTAATATAAGAATAATACAAAGCCAAATCCTTACAAACTTCTGTTACAACATAACATTTAAAACTCAAACTAACTACACTAATACAACCAACTCAGAAATATAACAACCTAAACACACAACCTATTAATCAACCTATTCCTTCTTTAGCTAATTTATCCGATCCCCAATTAGCAGCTCTCAAAATATGCCTAATAATAATATCTTTACTATCCACTAGGGAAGCAATATCTTTCACCAATGACTGAAACATAGGTGTACATATAGCCGGATTTTTTATCCACTTCAGAGCAGTAAGGGAATCCGATTCGAGGATAATCCTATCACTAAATTACTTATATCGTGTACTTTGACAAATGAATAGTGGTTTTGGTGGTCCTATGCTGAAGGACTTTGGTCACATTAGCATAGATTGATAATGCACTTGGTTTACTGTATGGACATAAATTTGGGTTCCACTTTGTTTGCTCTTGATGGTTTGATACATCCTGAATTGAGTTAGCCTCTTTGATGAACGAATTTATTGTTAAATGGAACTGAAAACTTTATATGATGAGGCTAGAGTGGTATCTGTTGTCAAAGTAATACATGTTCAATTGGCATCGTGTTTCTCTGTCATTGTGAAAGCATCAGTGACACTTTTTTTGAGAATTACTATATGGCCTCTGTGATCCCTATGTTTCCTTTCACATCCAGTTACAAAATCTTATGCTTTTGAATTTTACGAACCTGAAATAAATTCATGTCTGCGTACCTCTTTCTAGATGGCAGCATTCAACATACAAGAAGCCCTGATGTGGAAGGAAAAAATAGAGTCCGTAATTGATCAGGTGCATCTCCAAGTTTGTAACATAATTCTTGCTTTCTTTCCCTTTTTCAGATTTGCATTTTGATGTTAGGGACTTAGGGTCATATTTTTATATTTTCTTCGTGAATGGAATATGTTGTTTTTATATGTTAATCTGTTACCCAGATTGTTTCAATTGTCTAGATATATTATTTTCATGTGCAGCATCAAGAGTCACAAGTTGCAAATGGCAACAAATATGTTTCTTTTGAATATAAATCTGGGATGGACAATGGGAGGACTGCTTCTTCATCAGATCATGAAAGCCAGTAAGTGCCTATTTACCATCAGGTTTCTATTTGCTGTTGGCTATGTTTGTTAAAAAAAGTGAATGTTGTTTTTGTGGTGGGTCTGGTGGGTGTGGGGCTCTGGGCTTTCAAGCTACTTGGGTTCCTTGAACTCTTTGGATCATTCAATCCTCATGAGTAGAGGGTTATTTTCATAAATGTGTGGGCGAAAGAAGAACAATTACTTGTGTGTTATGTTTTGTATGATTTCTTTCATGTCTCACATCTTCCCGGTAATGCAACTTTTAAAATACAACAATGGATGAATTCTATAAATATTTCACTGTTGGAACTTGGAACAGTTAAATATGTTTTGCCAATTTCACTGTCAGCCCAGGTCTTGTGTGACTACTTTGCTGGTTATAGATGAATATCAAGTAGTAAGTCATCCTTGAATCAATGCATGATTGAACTGCCTCTCGAGTTTACTGACAATCTGAATAAAGCCCAATTCATTTGATCTAGCTCTATACAAGGCTGATTGTTAAATTAAAATGAACTGAATTACCTTGTTTCTCATTTGTTGTTGGCATATTGCCTAGTTTCTTAGCTAAATGATAAGACAAGTGATTAGTGATATTTAGCCAAACTTTATTTCTTGATATTTTCTTCAGGTTTAGTGCCCAAGAGGATGAAGATGATGCTTCTCCAGATTTTCTCAGGAGAATAACAATTGGAAATGGTTCTTATTTGATTTCCTTATCGCATATTTTTCACATTATTTAGTGCAGTGATCAGAAACACAACATTTATATAAAATGTCAGGTCCCCCAGATGCAATATTAGACTGGACGCAGGAGTTTGACTCAGAATTATCAAATCAAAATGCCAACAACCAAGCATTTTCGAGGAAACATTGGCGCCTCCTTCAATGTCAAAATGGTTTTTTAATTTAACATTCCATATTTTTTGGCTTTAAAGTTCAATCCAAGTACAAGTAGGCTTTCGGTTATCACAATGTTGCAGTGACATCAATGGATCATTATGAACTTGAACCTTTTACTTGATATGACAGGACTTCGCATTTTTGAAGAGCTTCTTGAAGTTGATTATCTTGTATGAAACTGTTTCATTTCTTGCTCTATGCCATCTCTTTGTTTATCTTCTCAGGGCCTCAATATCTTATGGGTGATAATTATAGCTTATATTTTCTTTATGTAGCCAAGGAGCTGTAGTAGGGCAATGAAGGCTGTAGGTGTTGTGGAAGCTACTTGTGAGGAAATATTTGGTCTTATAATGAGCATGGACGGGACTCGATTTGAGTAGGTTTCATATATGTTAAAATTTATACCATTTAATTTTCTCTACACATGAGACAGATGTGTACCGTTGTCTATCCACTGAATTTGTTACTGTTCAAAAGTTTTTTGCTTATTTATATTATTTACCTTCTGCAGATGGGATTGCAGCTTTCAGTATGGTAGTTTAGTTGAAGAGGTAGATGGGCATACAGCTATACTTTATCACAGGCTTCAGTTGGACTGGTTCCCTGCGTAATATATTCCCTCCAATTTAAATAATTTCTGTTTTCATTCAGTGATATTTATCTTTTGAAGCAGTGCCAGCATATTTCTGTTTTGGGAGCCAAAATTCTTAGGAAAACACAAATCAGAACTTCCGAACCCCCTTTTATCATGTTTGTTTTTTTTTTTTTTATGTGAGGCAAATTTTGGTTGTGGACACTATATTTTATCTAACCAATGCATTTAGAAAAATCCGAAAAGGGAGCAGGTAAAGAGCTAAGTATGCTGGATGCATGTTGGTAAGCACGAAAAGAAGGAATGAGAAAAGATAAAACTTCGTTGTATGAATAAAAGTCAGGAAGGGGGCATTGAGCAATTGGAACAGAAACAATAGAAAAGGTCTAGAGATGGAGAGAAATGATTCTTTATAGGTGCATTTACAAGAAAGGAGGAATTGGATTTTTTTCTTCATTATGGTTGTTTTTTTCTAGCTTTGATATTTTACTGAAGTATTGGCTTGTAATTTAGAATGGCTTTTGATAAGATTGGTGAGAAGTTTTTTTTTGATAAGAAGATTGGTGAGAAGTTAGTGATATTGCCTGCTAAAATTTCTTCATATAAACCTTTGTATGAGCATACTTGTACGGGCCTACTTATTGTTAAGCTTTAATTAAAACACTTTTTTCTCTTCATTGTGCATTGTTTTTGCAACCTTTAGAACACTTATAAAATTATGCTTAGATTTTTGTATGTATGATTTCATATTTTTGCAGGTTCGTATGGCCTCGTGACCTATGCTATGTGCGTTATTGGCGTCGAAATGATGATGGAAGTTATGGTAAGTCTTTGCAAATTTACTTATGTAACTATATATTTATTTTCTAGCTTCAGATATTTCCACTTTTCTTTTGTTTCGGTTATGGTGCAGTTGTGTTATTTCGCTCTAGGGAGCATGAGAATTGTGGCCCACAACCAGGATATGTGCGGGCTCATGTTGAGAGTAAGCTTATGTGAATCCCTTGGCTGTGTTGAGACTTGAAAATGGGTACTTAATTTGTAGTGTATAATTTTCTCAGGTGGAGGGTTCAACATTTCCCCTATGAAATCACTGAATGGAAAGCCTAGAACACAGGTGCAGCATCTCATGCACTTTGATTTAAAAGGATGGGGCGTGGGTTATATTTCATCATTTCAGCAACATTGTCTTCTTCAGATGTTAAATAGTGTTGCCGGTGAGTCTTGTCCAAATAAACAGGTTGAAGAAGTAAAAACGAATGGTGTGAGGGGATGTTAAGAAAATGTCATTCCTTGTTTTATTCTGGCTCTACTATTAACCTTTTTTAAACATTGTTTTAACTTATTACAGGATTGCGTGAATGGTTTGCCCAAACAGATGAGAGAGGTGCTCCTCCCAGAATCCCAGTTATGGTCAATATGGCCTCATCTTCAGTTCCCTCAAAGAAGACTCAAAAGATAAATGAGTTACCTGTTCCCCCTGCTCCTTCACTTGATCAAACAAATGCTGCAAACCGAAACTCTGTGTTGATGGATGAATACTCCGATGACGATGAAGATCAAATGCCTGAGACAGAACAAGAGGTTTTATTTTACCATTATCTTTATATATTTTTTACTTGATTATTCCCAACTGTAGGTTTCTTATTTCTTTAAAATTTTCAGGCATATCCAACTAAAAGTGACAATGATGTCAAGAGAACAGGTGTGGTCCTAAAAATGTTATATTGGATTCTTTATGTGATTGGATTTATGTGATTGGATTAGATAATTTTGTGGGACTGACTTATCTTATCAAATATATAATATCTTTATGAATTAAAGCCCTGGAAGAAGAATCAATTCAGAAAATTGATTTATCGTGCTTTTCTGGTAATCTACGACGTGATGACCGTGATAATTCTCGTAACTGTTGGACAATTTCTGATGGTAACAATTTCAGAGTCCGCAGCCAGCATTTTTGTTACAACAAAACAAAGGTTCTCATTCTTGTGCTTGGTTATTCTAATGCACTTTGCACGTCCAAATCAGTAACTTATGTTTTTGTTTGTTTTGACTTCCCCCAATATGCAATGAAGATTCCTGCAGGGAAGCATTTAATGGATCTTGTTGCTGTTGATTGGTTTAAAGACTCGAAAAGAATGGATCATGTTGTTAGGCGTCAAGGCTGTGCTGCGCAAGTGAGTCTGAGAACTTACCTTTTATGTTGTTTGCCTTTGTACTGTTCTGCTTCACTTCAGTAAGCTGTATCTTACTTCCATAGGAGGCTGATTGTTACTGTATCATTGGTATATTAAGTTATTTCTGCTTCATTTTCTATTCTTGGTCTCTGTTATGCCGCCATTTAAGCCTTTTATTTGGAATCACGGTGGACATTGTGATGCACATGGGAAACAAATTTGGTTGCATTGAAATTGATTGATTTACTTATATTTTTTTAGTTCCATTTCTTGTTGTAGTAACTCCACAACCTAAAATAGTTTTCATTCAGATTGCATTCAGGCTATGCATGTACCAGATCAAAATCTTTTTGTCAACTCCATTGGTTAGGTTGCTAAATGGAGGTAGGATAGTCTTCATTCCTTTGCCCACCCTATCTGCATGCTCAGACTTGAAGCTAGGACCTCAAACTTTTGTCTAATAATATTTTGGTGAATAAAACCCACGCCCTTTAAGCCTATCCGCTTTATTTATTAAAAATAAATAATTTATGATAGATTTTGTACAAGGCTAAACAGGAAAGGCTTTTTTTGGTTGGAAATGAAGTAGGATTAACTTGAATCAATGGAGTTAGTAGAACTTCAAATCAGGGTAACATGTTTATATTACTGCAGTGATCATGCTAACTTTATGTTGTAAAATGGATCAAGTTGGGAATCACATTATGCTTACAAGAACCACGTTCTGTCTTGACCTAGTTTCTACGGTTAAGGTTTTCTTTATGTTGTTGCAGAAAATCAGTTAATTCCTTTGTGGAATATATATTTACAGTTCTCTGATCCTTGTTGCTTCTGTTTGTAGATTGCTTCACAAAAGGGGCTTTTCTCTTTGGTCTTTAATGTTCAAGTAAGTCATCATGATGCAGGAGGTGTTTTATATTGTTAGTGATGGATCTGGACGCTGAGTGGATTATGTTATTTTTGCTCCAGGTTCCTGGCTCAACACACTACAGTATGGTGTTTTATTTTGTAACTAGGGAACTAGTACCCGGTTCCCTTTTGCAGCGATTTGTTGATGGTGATGATGAATTCCGCAATAGCAGGCTGAAGCTTATTCCATTGGTGCCAAAGGTATCTCTCTTTCTTCATTGTTTTTGGATTAAAGTTCAAATCAGGATGTCTGAGACTGTTGGAAGCAGTCTTCATTCTAATTGTCCCTCCATCTTACTTTTCGTCCATTGTTTGCTTTACTCTTATAAAACTTGTTCTTGAATCGTTCACATTGAATCTTTCAGGGATCATGGATTGTGCGACAAAGCGTTGGGAGCACCCCTTGTTTGTTGGGAAAAGCCGTTGATTGCAACTACATCCGTGGTCCCAAGTACATAGAAGTAAGGATCCTTATGGTTGCTTTAATACCTAAATGTAGCACTATGTAAGGATCTTTGTGATTGATATGGATCTATCTGTTCGTTTCTCTATGTAGGTTGATATCGACATAGGTTCTTCTACGGTTGCTAATGGAGTTCTGGGGCTTGTCATTGGTGTAATTACGTCATTGGTGGTTGACATGGCTTTTCTCGTACAGGTATGCTTCTAAAACAGAACTCACCCCTTAACCCTGTATTGATCGGCTATACAATACGATACACTGACTTACAAGCAATCGGATTTAGCAGGAAACAGCAAAAATGGTTGTTTTCATTACTAGTGACGTGTTAGGGGCAAAGAGTAGAATCATAATAGTTTTCAGATAATATTTTAACTGTACGGTGCAGGACAGGGGAATTGAAGTCACATTTATGATTTACTTGTAGCCAATTTTATGTTGGCTCAATGGTTGCAGTCTTTTTTTTTTTTGAAGAAAAATCTTTTTTCTTTTCTCTACTTTAGGCAAATACAACGGATGAGCTGCCGGAGCGTCTAATTGGTGCAGTGCGTGTCTCTCATATCGAGCTATCGTCTGCCATAGTTCCGAAGCTCGACACCAATCCATCGTGATTGTTTTGACGGACCAACAGCTGATTTCATACGATTTATTTGTTCTGATATCCATATTTCCATTAGCATTTAATGTTTATGGAAGAAGCCATCACATTTTCCCCCTTATAAATAGGATTTTCTAAAAATGTAGTTAAAGGAAGATGAAAATTTTATTAATTCAAATAAGGGAAAATAGAACTATGTTCAGTAGAAGAAATGAAGAGGGCGGGCGCTTTGCACGTTCATGCATCTCACATAAAAGCTTCAAAACTACACCTTGCTTTTAATTCAATTTAACTAGTTTGTGTTATTTATTTTTTATTTTTTGGAGTTGTAGTTTGAGGATGCATAAAGCAATTTTTGTATTTTTTTTGATTTTTAATTTTTTATGTACTTATATTTTGTAGTATAGTAAATTTATATAAATGAGAATTAAAATATATATTTCAGAACATTTAATATTCAAATCAAGCTGAAAATCATTTTTCATATTTACAAGTAGAAAATCAGTTCTTTAAAGATTCTGTTATATTATTTTACATGTTATTTATAAATGATTTTTATTTATATATTCACATGTTCAAATTCTTTTTTTTCTATTTTTTTTACATTTAAAATTTTGGTTTTATATAGAATTTGGTATAAATTTTAAAATTATTTATTTGAGTTTTTAAAATTATTTACATCAGTATTTAGAGAGCCCGTTTGGAATATCATCTCTTATTGATGTAGATTTTGTACATGATAGTTGTAAAATAATATTTTAATTATTTTTAAATGATTTTTTAACATGAAACGCCAGCTTTTACTTAAAAAAAAGTGTCTGGAAACGTGTCCTCTCCCTTAAAGTTTGAATGATATATTTAAAAGAGTTGATCTATTTACTTATATATAAATTTAGCATTGATATTCAATTCACTCGAACATAATAAAAAAAATGGTAAACATCGATTCATAAATCAGTTTAAGATTCATAACTAAAGAAAAGAAAGGATCAAGAACAAATAAAGGAAATAATATATTTAGCTCTTGTACTAAAACTAATAAAATAAAAGAAAGGAAAAGAATTTTAACATCCATTATTTGATTAAAAAGGAAAATATTTGTTTAAATTAACTTTCAATCATAACTTTACATTAATAAGTCTATTTAAAAAAATATTCGTAGAAATGTCTAGGTTCAATAATATAGAAAATGATATCATACTTCTTTACAAAGTTTAAATTAGCATAATAATTTTTATTTATTAAAATTACAATTTAACAACTGAAATCCAGAATTTTGAATCAATATAAAACTTTTTTAAATATGCAAGTGTGCTACAGTTAAATATGCGATACTCGGTTTTGAACACCTTTAGTGATTACTATTTGATAATGAATACTCAAATATCATACTGTCTCTTATGCTCAAACTCGAGACATCTAAAAATAACAACTATTCTTTTAACTATTGAAATTCCTTACATCATACAAACTGAATATGATCTAATTTCAGTAAAAATATCAAATGATATATAATGACATTTTCAAAAGTAAGATATTTAAGAGGTTTCGTTGCTACTTGCCTTAGAGTTTCTCTAAATCGAAGTATTATAAAGAGAGAATTTCACAGGGGGTCCCTAATCTATAACCCTTATTCTAAATTAGTTCATAAACTTTAAAACATTTTTTATCATTCTACAAATTATAACTTCGTTCTAAATTGATCCTTAAACCCACATATATCTTTGCTTTTTAATTAATTACTTTCTCAAATTTTCTACTTATATCTCCACATATGTACTAAGTTAGAGATTTATACCATCCATATATGTAGTTATTTCACTTTAAAATGTAATAAAAAAAATGAAAACATTAGTAGCGTTATGTTGTGGGTTTTTAGATATTGACGCCAGGGATGGACCAAGTCGGGTGAGTTAGTTGTCACTGAAAATTTAAAATTATCATATATTTTAAAAATTTTGTGTATTTTCTATTGAAAATCTGTTTCGTTCCCACCCCTATAATTTTAGTGCTCCATGGAATTTTAGTTCATCCATTTTGTCATAAAGTCTCCTTCGGAGATTCGTTAGACTTAAAAATTTTAATTTGGGGGAAGGTGATGAAATTTAGGTTTGAAACAATTTGATTTTGGAGTCGCTATCAACCTTTAAGTTAGGTAGGTTGAATATCTAAAACATCATTTTAATAAGTTCAGAAAAATCATTAAAAGATGAAAAAATAGTCTGCGATCTACCAAAAATTTATTTTTAAGAGTTCGAGAGTCGATTACGTGTGGGGAAGGGTGAGCACCCCCACAACGCCCAAGTCTTGGTACCTAAACGATTATATGATGTTTAAATATTGGGAATTACAAACTCGAAAATATATTTAAACTACGATCCTTCTATTCATTCGAATTTATTTAAAAGACTTCAATTTTCAAAGAAACTAAAACAATGTTGCTTTTGCAAATAATGAAATAAAGAGCCCAAAATATATTTTATAGAATAAAGCTGTTTATTTAACCCAAAAAATTATAATTATCTTTATAAGAGAAAATACATCATTTTGTACGAACAATCCTTGAAAATGTACTTCCTTTATAGTTAGGAGACTTTTTCCTGGACTCCCCTCACAAAATGGCGTTTCTTTAATTTTATGGATGATGTAGTTTAAAAGAGTATAATATTATATTAAATTTTAGAAATGTCCAGATAAAAGAATGCCTTTTTGTGTAAACAATCATCGGGAATGCAATTCTTTTGTAGTTAGGAGATTTTCCCATAGATTCCCCTCTAAAAAAGGCATCACCTCACATTTTTTTTCTCATATCAAAGATAAAAAAAATAAACAAGGTGAAAAATAATAAAATAAAATAAAAATGTAAAACAAAGAAGACTATCGAATACAAAAAAAAAAAAATCTTTTGTGTGAAAAATCTTCGAAAAAACACTTTTCCTTATAGTTGGGATTCCCTCACAATAAAATTTTCTTATTTATATATATATATATAGGGAAAATGATGATTTATATAAAAATAAGGAGTAAATAATAATATATATATGCGCAAAAAAAAATAGCAATAATAAAGATAACCAAGTTCGATTGATAATCTAAAATACGAGTTAAACATCGGTAGCCTACTAGCATAAACAATGGACCAACATGCAAGCTTTTTAAACCAACCACAAGATTAAAATACAAGCCAAATAAGATGATAAATAAATAAGGTAGAAACGTAAATAGTGAAAAGTATAGACACTAGAGGTAAATATAAAACAAGCAAGATCAGTGACTAAAATAAAAAAAAGTATAAGTTAATATGCTTAAATGCAAATAAAAAAATAAAATGCTGTAAAAAAAACTGGAATAAAATGCAGCAAAATAAAAGGGCAGAAAAATAAAATGCTAGAATTTAAAGTGCTAATAAATAAAATAATATAATAAAAAACAGAAATAAATTAAATAAATTTAAAAGTTAGGGGTTGTTTTTAACCATTTAACATGAACCATAAATAATGTGGATCATCCCCCAGGGCAGGTCACCACAAGGTCGTTGAATATTCGAATGTTAGAAAATTAGCAGATTAGTTTGTGCAATAAAATAAAATAAAATGTTAGTAAGTAAGAACAATAAAAATAAAAAGTTAGTATGCTAATATAAACAAATAAAATAAAAGTTAGGGATTGTTTTTAATCGTTTAACCCGGACCATAAATAATGCAGATCGTCCCCCAGGGTGAGTCACCGTAAGGTCGTTGAATATTCGAATATTAGAAAATTAGCGGGTTAGTTTGTGCAATAAAATAAAATGTTAGTAAGTTAGTAAGAACAATAAAAATAAAAGTTAGAAAAATTAGCGGTTAGCAGAGTCCAAACTATAATAATGTGGATAATACCCTAGACCGGGTCACCACAAGGTCGAATAATATGAAAAACAATGAAGAAATAAATAAATAATGGTTAGAATGCAAGAAAATAAAATTCAGTGGGTAATGTGTGATAAAATAAAAGTTAGTAAATAATACAAAACATACAAAGCATAAATCAGTGACCAAATTAAAATAAATTGAAAAAGGGGGTCAAAATCACAATAAATAAAACAACATATGCATAGTGACTCAAATGTAAAAACAAGGCAGAAGTGAAGGGACTTACGAGTGATTAATCCCTACAATGATGACCCAAAAGTAATGACCTGTCAAAGATGGGAGACTAGACGCATAATTAACTCAAATATTAAAAAAAAACAACTTCCCCACCTAAAACCAACAGTAACCACGTGAAAAATCTCAGCTTAACCTCTTCTCTACCCGTGCAACAACCTTGCTCAAACAAGAGCTCAAAGCTCAACGCAGGCCACCGAAAGATGGTGGCCACCTCCCTTACCGAACGAAAAGAGCGACCATGAGACAGCTTGCCCTTTCACTGGCCGACCAGCACCGCATGGAGCCTCGAAAACCACTCAACCAAACAAGAAAAATGGCCACTTCTCACTCTCTAAAACTAACGGTGGTGGCTCTCCACCCTCGGCCACCGATTTAGTGGTCGTTCCTCACTCCCTCCTACACCGGTTACATGAAAAAACACCGGCGAGGCTAAATCGAGGCCTCTACTCCTATTCTAACCTTGGCTCCTCCCTTAACAGAAGCTCAAAATGAACTCCTCCAACAACGGCCAAACGGCCACCAACTACCACACACGGCCTCCCAACGCCGACGAGGGCTGACCCCTGGCGACAGACCACTCACGACCCCTCACTCTCACCATATCTTACATATTCATGCTAAAAAAAGAAAGGAAACAAACATAAAAAGAAAGAAAAACCAACATGAAGGAGAAAACCAAGCTTTTTATTCTGTCCTTTTTTCATACAAAATCAGGGGTTCTAAATTTTTTTTTTTGCTTTTAAAGCCCCTCAAAACTATAAAAAGGTAAAATACATGTTTGGTCCTTATAATTTGCTGCTTTTTTAATTTTAGGACAAAATTAGGGTATTACAATTACCCCACTTTTCTCTTCTGTTGTGTAAACAATGACGAAGCAAAGACAAATAATGAACTAATTTTGTCTAGCTATGATGTTCGCTCTACATCTGGAGCTCCAATTATTTGTCTGAAAATAGAGGATTTAAAGATGACATTGTTCCTTCATGTGGAGGACTTCTGGTCAATCTAGATATAATTTGGTGTTGAAGACGACACTGCTCATCCATGTTGAAGAGATCTGGCCACTTTTAGATGACGTTGTTCCTTCTCGTTGAGGAAATT